CAAAACCTAAATTTTTGTCCATTTGGGTGCTGTAGATGTTTGTCATCAGTCTCATGCTGTCCAGTTTTTATTAATAGCTTCCATGAAGATATTGATGATATGTCTGTTAAATTTGTTAATGACACAAAGCTGGAGAGATAGTTAATATGCAGCATGGTAGAACTAGGTCCTCACTTGATCTCAGGATGGTGGAACAGTGGAAGAAATTGAATGATGTGGAATCTAATTAGGAAAAATGTAAACTTCCCCATGGAGATTCAGGTGCTTAAATTCAAGAGCTGGTGCATATAAAAGGCAACTAGGTCGCCCAGTGGATAGAGCACTGGGCTTGGAATCAGGAATACTCATCTTCCTGAGTTCAAATCTGGCCTCAGACACTGGGCAAGTCACTTAACCCTGTTTGCTCAGTTTCCCCATCTGTAAAATGAGCTAGAGAAGGAAATGGCAAACCACTCCAGTATCTTTGCCAAGAAAATCCCAAATGGGGTCGTGAAGAGTCAGACAGAACTGAAATGACTGAACCAACAACAGTATATAAAAGCCTTGCAAACTATAACGTGCTTTGCTAATGTTAGCAGCCACAATAACTGCTGCTATTCCTGATCCAGGAAGAGGAAGCCCTTGCTTGCAAACAGGCCATGTGAAAAAAGTTATTTGGGTTTTCAGTGGATTGCAAATTTAGTATGAGTCAACAGTGTGACATGGGCACTAAAAATGTGCTGAAGTTGGTCTACAAAATGAAGGAGGCGACAGTTCTGCCCTGGTCAGACCCCATTTAGAGGACTGTGCTCCTAATGCTCCAGGAGAGTTTCTGATCTCTTAATTTTTCTAAGGTGGACATTCGCTAGACTTTATCACTGCCTCATTTTCTCTTATTGTTTATATCAATGGATAAGCATTTATCTAGCACCTACTACATGCGATACACTGAACTAGGGAAGCAAATGAAAAATGAGATAACCTCTACCCTCAAAAAGTTTATATTCTACTGGCATGATATACCATGTTTATGTATAGGTAAAAAGAGGATATATGTAAAATAAATACTGAGTGATTTCAGGCAAATGCCACTCAACTGGGCAAATCAGGAAAGACCTCTTAAATGGAGTTGGACCTTGAGCTGAGCCTTGGAGGGAGTGGGGAGTTCCAATAGGTGGTGAGGGGGGAGAGCATTGCAGGCATGACATGTAGCCTTTGCAAAGGCACACAAGTAGGAAATTAAGTAATGTAAATTAATCAACAAGTATTAAGCATCTACAATGTGTCAAGTACAATATTGGGTGTTGGAGGTGAACAGGCAAAAAAAGTAGTCCTTTTCCTTGAGGAACTTACATTCTATTGAAGGAACAGCATGTACATTAATAAACATATACATCATATATACAAGGTAAATTTTTTTGAGAAAGGGGAGTTATTGACATCAGGGGAAGTATATTTCAGGCATAGGGGACAGTCAGTACAAAGTTAGAATTGAGAGATGGAGGATGCTGTATAAGGAACAGTGAAAAGCCTAGGTTGCCTTTACCATAGAGTATGAGAAAGGGAGTAATCTATATTTAAGCTGGAAAGGTAAGTTGGGGCCAGGTTATGAAGGACTTTAAAAGCTAAACAAAGAAGTTTAATTTGATCCTAGGAGCAAGAAGGACACATTGGTGTTTATTGAATGGGAGAATTACATGGATAGAATTGCACTTTAGGAAAATCCCTTTGGCAGGTGCATGGAGGATGGATTTGGATGGAGCCTACTTAGCAGGCTATTTTAGTGGTGCAGGTGAGATGAGATGATGGCCTTGTCCTGTTGCTGATCATATCTTGCCAAACTCCAAAACTTGTATTATTCCTTCCCTCACTGCTATTCATGTACTGCTGAATACAACTGAAGAAATTCGTGCTCACTGGGTCCACTATGAGTTTACATTACATAATCTCAACTGGACCCTCACTGCAGCAAGGTAATGCTTTTACATCTCTCTAATGGATTTTTTTTCATCCTACTTACCAGAGCAGCTTTTCCAGATCTTTTCATTCTTCCTCAAGTCTCCCATGCCTCTTTCTTCCCACAACCTTTCAGCTGAGGACCTTGTAATATATTTCATTGAAAAAAATTGAGGCAATTTATTGAGAGCTCTCTCTTCTCCCATCTTCCTCATCTCACATCATTCAGATGCCTCCATGTACTTTATGGTCCAGGTAGTCTATTTGTTGTTGCTCACACACAAAATTCTACCCATTGACTCCTCACCTTGTCACTGGCTATAACCCACACCTGGAATGTTCTCTTTCTTCGTGACCACCTCTTAGTCCAGAATCGGCTTACATAACACCTTCTGCAGGAAGTCTTTCTTGATCTTCCTTACTGGTAGTGTCTTTCCTCTGAGACTACTTTTCATTTATGCTGTATGTGTCTTGTAGTTATGATTTTTTTTTACATGCTGTCTTCTCTATAAGAATATGGGATCCTTGAGGGCAAGGACTGTATTTTTTTTGTCTTTCTCTGTAGTCGCAGAACTTAGCACAGTGCCTGGCATGTGGTTAAGTGCTTAATAAATGCTCATTGACTTGACTCAACTGAACAAAGGCTGTGACCATGTGTGTAGAGAGAAGAGAATGGATGGGGGATATATTGTGGAGCTGGAAATGCTGAGAAGTAGTAACTTATTTGGTATATGGGATGAAGAAAAGTCAGAAATCAAGGATACTGTTAACTTGTGACTCTGCATGACTACTAGAAGGATTTTAGTGGCCTCTGCAGAAAAAGGGCAGCTAGGTGGTGTAATGGATAGAGTGCTGGGCCTAGAGGCAGGAAGACTTATCTTTCTGAGTTCAAATCTGGCCTCAGATACTTACTAGCTGTGTGAACCTGAGCAAGTCACTTAACCCTCATTGCCTTAATTTCCTCATATGTAAAATGAACTGGAGAAGGAAATGGCAAGCCACTCCATTATCTTTGCCAAGAAAACCCTAGCTGGGATCATGAAGAGTCAGGCAGGACTGAAACAACTGATCAACAGAAAAAGAGAAGTTCTAAAAGGAGGTGAATTTTTGGGCAAAGACACTTTAGGGGACAACGATTAGGTCAGTATAGCTGGATCATGGAATACACAAGGGGGTGCATTGTTTAAATATCCTGGAAAGCTAAACTGGAGCTATGAAGGGTTTTAAACCCCAAACAAAAGTTTGTATTTTATCCTTGAAGCAATAGAAAGTAATAAATGAAACATTGTATGTAGACTAGTGACATAGTTGGATTTGTGCTTTAGAAATATCAATTTTAGTATTGTGTGGACTATTGCAATACTTCAGGTTAGTGACAGTGAAAGCCTAGACCAGGATCATCTCTAGGGCAGGGGGCAGGAGAGGAGGGAAGAAAAAAAGAGAAATTTACATGATAACTTTATTATATATTTAAAAGGAATAGCAAGTTATACATAATAGATTTGCAGTTTCATGTGCAGGCGTCTTTTTTCATTATACTATGTTTTAGAAATGCTTGTTTCATTCCATAAATTAAAAATAAAATTAAAAAAAAATTTGCAGTGAAAAAAAATCTAACAACAATTTCACAAGTATTCATGAAATGCCTACTGTGTGCCAAGAGCCACAATAGGCACTGGAGATACAAACTCAAAATAGTCTTTGACCTCAAGGAATTTACATTCAGCACAGATAAATGTTACCTAAGCAAATTAATATTTTGTTTATGCTCCTGAGAATGAACAAATGAAGAACGTTCACTCTGTGTGGAGCTAAAACTTGGACACCATTTCTAACTGGTTTTAAATCTAGGAGATCTCTGACTGGTCTCAGAGCAGCTGAATGGAGAGAAAAAGACCCTATTTTATAGACTTCCCGGAAGAGTATTTCAAAAGAGCTCAAGAATAAACCAGGGATGCTAACACATCAAGGAATTATGATTTCACTGGTGTGGGAACACTCTCTAGAATACAAATCTCAACCAATCTATTGACATTACTTAGCAAATAAATCCTTGAGCATTGCCTATGGCTTAGAGAAGTTAGAAATTGCTTTCAGCAGGGATCAGACCCCTAGTTTTTAATATCTCTCTCTTATAAGTATAGTAGGCATGTCTGTTCTATATGCTAAGTCTATTTTTAATGAAAACACTTTAAAAAGTGAGCAACACAGTTTTGTGACTGAACCAGATTTTTTCCTTTAGAAGGGGAAATCTGAATATGTGTTATGGGAGGCTTTCATGGGTGCTCCCTCTATTGTGCAATTATGTTCGGCTCCTGGGTGAATTATGAACTGGGCACTTAATTATGTAAAAAATATTGCAAGGCTGTAGCTGTCCGGTCCCCAAGAGTGTAATTATTGTCTGTCTTAGCAGAATGTTGGGCTTTTAATCTGTAAATAAGCAATTCCATGTTGAGGACCTGCATGCAGAGTAAGCCTGTGTAGTAAAGGCCTCTCATGAATTTTTAAAAAGTGAAAACAGTCCCTGTATATAGTTTTATTGGCTGCCTGGCTGCTACACAGTATTTATCAGCACTCCTCCCACATGGCTTTCATTACCATGATAGGCATTTGTTCCAGTGGGATCCCTGTAAGGAGCATCACAGTGTGTGTATATGTGTGTGTGTGTGTGTGTGTGTGTGTGTGTGTATGTGTGTGTGTGTGTGTGCATGTGTGTGTGTGTATGTGTGTTGGAGGGAGGTAAGGATGGGCATGCTAGATGCCTTTTAGAAACCTGTTTATTAAAAAACAAACCCACCATACCATTAAACTTGCTTACTAGAGATGCCTACATTCTTTCTCGACCCTACAATTCTAGCTTCTGGAAAATCTGATGTTTACTTTCAAAAAGTGGGCTGTTGAGTGACACATTCATTCAGGTGGGCTCATGAATATCCAGAAATGAATTCTGGCTTCACCAATGTGTGAGTTGGCAAAAAGGAAAACCTGAGTGGGGGTGCAAACTCATGATTATTGTAAACTAATAATTATTCTTTTCTCTCTCTCTCTCTCTCTCTCTCTCTCAGTTTCTCTGCCTGAAGAACATAAGAACCTTCCTATCAGCTTGTTGTGAGACATTTGGGATGAGGAAAAGTGAACTCTTCGAAGCCTTTGACTTATTTGATGTTCGGGATTTTGGAAAGGTAATTGAAATTTAGGGATTTTAGGGATGCCTGTTAAACCTGTTAATTAAGCGTTTACAATTTCACAGATTTACAGTAAATATTAAAATTGTGATCAGGATTACCTTCAAGTGAGAACAGTGAAGGTGGTTCTATCTTTGTGAAATTCAGATTTTCGCATTCCATTGGTTTTATTCAGCCTAAATGAGGAGCTTTGGGAGAGAAGGAAAACAATATCCCCAAATCCAGAGATGTTGCATTGCTTCAAGTTGATCGAAATGAATCCTGTGGGGAAAGTGTTATATAAAAAAGCTGTCTGCTGATCATCATTGTGAGATAAATATTTTATTTTATTTTATTGACATTGCTTTTAAACATTACTTTGACAATGGGCCAATAGGTTTCATCATACTGTCAGAGGGGTCCATGACACACAAAAGGTCAAAAATCACTGTTCTACAGCCTTCCCATCTGAAGTTACTATTTACTTAGTCCATAGTTTGTATGTACCTTAGTTTGTGCCTATTGTCTCTTTAATTAGAATGTAAACTCCTAGAAGTCAGGGACTGTTTTTCCTTTCTTTTTTACTCCAGGACTGGAACAGAGTAAACATTTAACCATCAATACTTGATGGTTGATTGAGTGATTGACTGGAGGGGGAAATAGCCTTGGCTGTAGAATCACAGGACCTACCTCTGCTGTGTACTACTTATGTGACCTTATCACTTAACCTCCCCGGGCCTCAGTTGCCTCATTTGTAAAATATGACCTCTGAGGTTCCTTCTTCCTATAGATCTATAGGAGATCTTTGATTGATTTGATCTCAGTGATGTTTCTTGGCTTGGAGAATTAGCACAATCATATTATTTCCTTTGAGATGTAGTTGGAATCTTCCCCAAAGTTGTAATCATTCATAACTTGGCTTCTAATTAAATCTTTTACATGAACACTGGTTGGTTGGTTGTTGTTCGTTCTCAGAGAGGACCAAAATGGCATCACTATACTAGAGTCAAATTACAGTGTATCCAACTGTGGCTGATCAGACCAATAGGAGCTTGGAATGCTCTACCACAGGTTGGGCACAAATAGTCCATGTGAACATCTGGAGTGGATTCTCTAAATGTGTTCATCTCGTGTTTCTTTTGAGCTACTTCAATTCTGCTTTGCTCATAGAGCACAGCACCTTCTCTGAATGTGAGTATTAGCTATGGATTACTAACAATTATATTGGTGAACATTTGAATAGCATTTATATGAAATGCTTAGTCTTGTTCAATGATGTATGTTGTCCTGACTACATGAAAACAACCCATTCTAGAATTCAACCAACATTTAAGTCCCCATTCAGTTGATAATGGAAATGAAAAGACAAAAATGAAGTAGTGGTGCTGCTAAAGGAGCTGGTTTGAGCTGACTCCGGCACACCCCTGGATGTGACCCACCTTCCCTCCCTCCAGTTGGTTTGTCACTTACCCACTGTGGTTATACCATGACTCCCATTTTGTAAGACCATTTTTCTAAAGAAACACATGAGGTTTTTTTTTCTCTGTCGGTTGTTATGGCTTAAACTGTGGTGTTCACAATACTTCTTCCTTATAGCCAGAGGGCAATGCCACATTGTATAAGTACCTGGTCTTTCATTTTTCAAAAGGCTTTTACTTCTGTGACTTAATCTTAATTATTTGGTGATTATTGGGGAGGTAGGGAACCTGAATTTTTTTTTTTTCTGAGAAACTGCTTGCTCTTGATGGGAATTAGAACCATACTTTGACCTTTTTAGCACCACACTAACCCAACTGTCTCCCCTACTAGGTCCTAAACTCCTTCAGGACAGGGACTATCTTTTGCATTTTTTTTTTTTTGTATCCCCAGTGCTTAGCGCAGTGCCTGACACATAGTAGGTGCTTAATAATTGTTTATTGAGTGAATGAACAAATTAATGGGTCCAAGCAGTATGATACTAATGTGGACTATACTCTCTAATGAGAATTTGGATCAATTCAATCATGGACCTTCCATAGAATTAATTTAATCAAGAAATAGACATTTGAGTAAAGATAGTCTATTTTTTTTTAGGCAATTGGGGTTAAGTGACTTACCCAGGGTCACACAGCTAGTAAGCATCAAATGTTTGGTGTGAGGCTGGATTTGAACTCAGGTCCTCCTGACTTCAGGGCCAGTGCTGTATCCACTGTGCCACCTAGCTGCCCCCTGAAGATAGTCTACATTCAATTATCACTGTTACATATCCTGGATTGCTAAATATGAGTATGAGTAACTGTGATTCAGTTGAAGAGAGTAACTCTTGTACTTCATATATGTCTTCGGACCCATTGTGATTTTATCACAAACTTGCATTTAATAACACCTATTCAATACTCTGTGCCTGATTTATTCTAGAAATCAATACTCTTTTTATCTAGCCCCATGCTGTGGAAAAACAGGCTCAGTTATGCAGTGTTGATGGAGCTGTGAATTGGTCCTGCCTTTCTGGAGATCAGGTGCTATCTTGCTTCTGTATTCCTAGAGCTTAGGATAATTTGCACACAGTAAATAATAAATACTTTTTCATTCATTCATTTAAGTTGATTTCTGCCACCACATAAATGCGTTCTTTGCCCTACCTCTTCCATTCAAATTATCTAAGGTTCACAGAGAGGAGAACAATACAGTCCCCAGCCCCTCTTGCTTTGATCTCAGTGCTGGGTAAATGAAGGATAGTCCTTCTTTAAGACAAGACTGAATATCTTCATCAGATATTCAGGGTTAAAGTTGTTACTGATTTCTCTGAAGTAAGGAAGACCTGGGTCCAAAATCTGTCTTTTACTTTGGATAAGTCATTTCACCTTTAAGAGACTTAGTTTCTTTTTTTTGGGAAATGAGTTTGGACTTTGTGACCTCAGAGGACAGCTCCAATTCTATAAGTCTATGATCCTATAAGGATTTGTCCATTTGGACTTCAACAATGCTAAAGGTTGCAGAAGATAGACATTGACATGTAAAGAGGAAGGCCTTCAACTGCAAAACAAACAGTCTACACCTTAGAAAGCTTCAGTAGCTTAATATAACGTGAAGACAGCTAACTTGTAAGCTTGCCTGTAAGACACAGAGTGCTTTCGTATTCGATGATCTTAACAGTTCATCTGAGTAAGGCTCTAAGAGTAGTCTGGGAAGTGTAACTAGCTGAATCAAGATTAATCATCAAAAACCAAGAAAGAGTTTCTGGCTGAGGAAACTGACCCAGAATTAAGAAGAATTTTCTAAGGAGAGGCTGGACCTCTCCGACTTCTTTAAACCTTAAGTTTGAGGCCCTGAGAGAATCAAAGAGAGTCTTCTCTGCCAATCCTATACTAAGAATCGGTGTGGCTTGTCTGAAAAAAGCATTGTAACACTCTGACTGAAGATGGTTCAGTACTAACCAGGCAAGCCAATGCCTGAAAGTGGGGAAAGACCACAGTCTGTTATCAAAAAGCTCAAAGGAGTCCATTGGATTGACGTAGATGCAACAACCTGAGAAGAGCGTAGAGACTGAGGAACCTGCCCACACAACTGCAGAAATCATTGATCAGTGGCAAAGTAGCAGAGAGGCCTGTCTAGGCCTGTCTGGCCCTGTCTGGCAGCAGCTACCTAGCAGCCACACCTGGTTGACCCTATTGGGCAATAGCGGACCAATGACCCCATGCTTTGCCTGAATGAGCCCAGACATAGCCGAGTTCAGGGAGGAGCCAGCTCAGCCGTTGAGCAATGTGCTTGACCTAGCCTAGCGGTGGATTGACCTGTTCTGCCAAGATGCCATGTCTTGTGTGGACTAAGTTCAGCCAGGTCTACCCCTGGCCCCCCCAAAATGACAGTGACAAAGAATCAGAAGAGTGTCGCAGTGGAGTAACTCATCCTTGACTGATATCATACCTTAAAAGGAATGTTATGAAGACTCTACACAGGAAAATACATGGTCATAGAGGCACTGCAGTTCTGGAGTTGTAAGTTGCTTTGGCCAGGTATATTTCCTAAATGTATGTCTTACTACTATTGTATTTTATTTCACCTCCCCCACCCCACTCCAGTTCAAACCTGTGGGTAAAAGCCTTGTAACTATTATTTGTGCTATACCATTTGAATAAATGCCTTTGCTAAAGCATTGAGTTTATTGGTTGATTGTTAAAGGGAAGCACCCACTGGTGGGGCTTATGAGCATGTTGGTTAAGGAGATATCTATTAACAGGGTTACCCCCTAGAACCCTGAAACTAGGAACAGTGCCTCCTCTGGGGATCCATTCTAGTGGTATGAGTTGGGGGAAGAGCAAGTCCAGAGGAGTGAGCTCAGAGACCATCAACTCCATGATCTAAATTTTTAATATTTACTCCAGGGATCTGTGATTTTCTCTGTGTGAGGGTGTCCTCCATTGATATAGCTCATGTCCCCTCTGTGACTTAGTAGATAGTCATCAAGAATTCCTATGCCTGAAAAATTTCTTATCCTGCTGCTCATCTCATGATGAGTCTCTCTTGACTTAGAGATAATGGACCACTGGGCCCATATTGGAAAGGAAGGGAAGAGGAAAGAAAATAATGGAAAGGAAAGAAAAGGAGGGAAGAGAAGGGGAAGTAAAAGGAAGAGGAAAAGTACCTTTATCAAGCACCTAGTATATGCCAGGCACACTGCTAAGCACTTACAAACACTCTCTTGTTTGCAGTTATCTCACTTTGATTTGATTTGAGGGCTTCTCAGTTTCATAGCAGGGGGCCATGCCCTACTTGTGTAGCCTTGGAGAACCCCAGATCACATCAGCACCATAAGGAGTTGTTGGAGGAGCTACAATGCAACTTAAAATGGTAGTTTTTAGGGTGTCTGCAGTCTCATCTATTGTGGTTTTGTTGAGCAAATATTAAAAAAGTTATATTCACCATTTCTCAAACTCAATAATTTAGCAAGTCATCAAATAGATATTATCTTTTCATTACCATTCATAATAAAGAAAATTTGAGATGGCTAGACATTACACAAATGTTTTGAAAAATCT